TTATAATGTAAAGTATATGCAATATCTCAGGCTGGGATAAAAAAGCAAACCGGTGGAGGAGCAGCTGCAGCAGAAGAGGGATCAGCAGATGACAGAGGAGGAAAGAGAAAGAGAGTAAGGAAGTCACTCCATCTCCATCACAAACTTCAGGATCTCCTCGCTCACCGGCTCATCTGGCAGGTGCTGCGCGGGTGCTGCCCCCTATAGGCAGCAAGGAAGGATGGTATGATTCCCAGAGGATGACAAATAAAAGATCCAGATTTCGTAAACCTATTAAGATACTGATTCTCTGCCATCAGCCCTGCCTCTTCACCTGCCTGGTTAAAAGAACTGAAGTCTAAGAAGCGAATGAGTCAGCTCAATGGCAAAACTTAACCAGACACAAGTAAGTTGCAGTGCCAGTCAGGAGATTAGATTAACTCATCAGGGATGTGTGTGGGTTGTTTATTTTTTACTTCAAATTAGTCTAATGTAAATTTGTTTTTTTTTTTCACATTAAGGTAATCATACAATAGCTTATTTGTTCTGAAAATATTTATTGGATTCTCACATTTGAGTCTATTGTAGATTTTCTCTAATTTAGGTCCTTTTCGTAACCATCAGTTTGTATCAGCTTTATTTGATAAGAATGGACCAGGATTTTTCTGTTGCTGTTGTAAGAGCTACAAAGAAAAACATCTTAGAGTCGTAGAGAAGTCGTATTTAAATTTCAAATCATTCTGGCTTAAACATGTGTATAAATGTACTCTGTCAGAACATATTGTCCCAAAAGTTAGAAAATTTCTATTTAAAAAAAAAAATCCTGTCTCAAAATCGGATGTTTTTTTTTTTTCGTTATCTTATGCAGGCCAGTTAGTTATACGTCAGCTTGTACACCTAAATTCGGCCAATCATATATCATCGGTCATCTGTCAATCAAATTTTTTCGGTCATAGCATCTCGATTTATATGTTGCAGCTAATATATGCAACGGTTGAAATAAGAAATAACAATCATGTCCCTCCCTATTGAGTTCTGTCCCAGTGTTCACGGGGCTTTTCTACTCTAAATGAAAAATATATGACAGAGGAGACTCATCCACAACCTCCGACATAAAACTCTCCTCCTCTTGCATGTTTCTGCTGTCCATAGCGTTCCTTGTTGTTTCTCAGTCACCAATTTAGTGCTACTTGGTCCCAATGTGATTTCCCATTGGGAACCTACTAGCACTAAGTTGCTAACTGGTTAGCAAGATGCTTCCGACAAACCGGCCACAACCAAAAAGCTTGCGAACCTTCCGCCACAACAATCCTGCCCCCTTTATAATTGACCAATCACATTAGGGTTGTCAAAAGTATCGATACTCAAAAAAGTATCGATCGACTGAAAAGTTGTATCCGGATACAATACTCGTTTTTAAAAG